AAAATAGAATTAGATACTTAATATGTCGAGTTGTTTTGATTTAATATTTTCACAGTATGTTTTTAACATGAAAGAATTCTTTTTGAAAAAAGTTTCTCTTTTAATAGCAAACATCACAGAAATAAAATGTATAGTTTAAACTACGTCAAAGAACGTTTTTAGTAAAGAAGTATAGCTTCAGGAACAAGTCTCATATTTCTACAAAAGTTTCAGAATTTTGGCGCAAAAACTGATGAGTATTAATATGAATTTAAACATTTTTCAGTACTATGATTAATAATATTTAATTAATAAAATTTTATTAATTATTATTATCTTGCTTTTAAGATTTATTGCTTCCATAAACAATCCTGTGGGTTATTCCATATTCTTTGTAGAACTCAAATTCTCGAAACTACGCTCTTTTTTATTCAGCTTATCACTGATGAGACTGTATTTATTGTCTCCCCTGTTGAACAATAATTATGCACCTGAGCTTCTTGAAAAGTCGCACATACTTGGTTTTCGTTCTCCCGCATTTCTTTTCAAAATCCGCTCTTAATCTATTTTACGCCATGAAGTGACGCACTATATATTTTACTGAAACTTTGCATACGCATACACTTTCTTGCCACTCAGTTTAGCTTAGAAATTCAAAAGAAGCTTTTGTGTTTTATTTGTTGCATATTTATTTGTCTCGTGGAATGTTGCTGGTTATAGTATTGATATTATATTAGTATAATTACCAGTGATTTAGAATTAATAATACACAAATTGATTTTTAAATACATTACCGTACAAGCTCAAAGTATTAGAAGCTGCTAGCAAATGCTCACATTTGCCAGGTTGTTAAGCAAAAATCCGAAATATCTAATGACATTATTAACTATTCAGATTTTGTACCCAAATAATTATAACCCTCGAGATTTAATGGCGGGTTTGTGAAGCTGGTTCAAAATCAGAGCCGTAATTCAAGTTAGATTTCCAAATTAAAAATCGTTAGTTATAAAGTTTTATTTAGATAATAAATATGATTACTCTTACCAGTGCTAATCAGCGAATCCATACATTACTATCATTATTTGCTGTGATCTTAAAATATATAATGGATCAATTTCCGATTCAATTTCCAGTCGTAATCAATTTCCGATTATCGAGGATAAGATGGAGGACGACAATCTTAGTTAATTCAATATTTCTGTCAATCCAACAGTAAATACAAAACACAAAAAAGAGCAATAACTTATATAATTAACTTAAAAGTACTGTTAAAAATGTGCCCATATTTTCGGGAAATTAAATCAGCCAAAGGCTTGTTTGTTTACGTAAATTAAGTGAGATTTCAAAGTTCTCTCTTTTCCCCTCCTCTCTCCCCCAAGCGCGCAAGAACACCCTCTTTTTCTTCCTGTCACTATCTTTCTTCCTTAATTCGCAGTGCACATACTGTTTGACTTCTTTACATTATTCGTGTATGTAGATAGTGTTAGAAATAAATTTTATTTTATTTTTATGATGTTGTGTCTGCCAAAGCATCTTTGTTCCTTAATATTCATGTGCAGCTCTTTTTGTATTTTGCTGAATGGCAACAGTTAATTAGTCAAGTAAATAAACATGTAACGTACATTTGTGGTTTGCTTATTTCTTTCTACTATATTTCAAAGTATATCTGCCATTTAAGTAATCTCAATCACGTTATCAGCACGATATGCTCTAAAGAAGTTTATTTGGCAGAAATGAAGAAGAAATTTTGATTTTTTCCGAAAGAAAAAGTAGCAACATCCACAGCGCCGCCGAAGCTAAGCTTAACACGTTGAAAGTTATCCGATGGAAGAAATTAAGATTCAGAAACTCAACGGAGATAATTACAATGCTTGGAAAATCCGATCACGAGCTGTTTTAGTTCAAAACAATTGTTGGGAAGCGATTGATCCAGATTACGGGGGTGAATTAAAGAATGACGAAAAGAATTTAATGAGAAAGCCTTAAAATTTCTATTCTTAGTGGTTAAAGACCAGTTCTTAGACATATCACTGACTGTGAAAGAACGAAAGAAGCATGGGAAGCATGGGAAAGCATCCATACAAAATTCGGACCCTTGCATTCTCTACAACTTTTAAAGGAATTTTTAATGTAACTTTAAAACCTGGAGAAAGCGTCAGTTCTTATCTAAGTCGATTGATGGACCTTCAACGAAAGGTATCGTCTTGAGGACACGGACTTGAGGACAGAGAGGTTGCCCTCGTTATGTTAATGGGTTTGCCCAAGGAATATGAAGGCCTTATCCTCAATTTAGAGCGTGAAGAAGATACGTTGTCAACCCAAATCGTAAAATCGCGTGTCATCGTTGAAGAGAAAAAATTGCTGCGCTACACAGAAGTGAAAACAAAGTTTGCTGCCAGTGAGGTCATAGGAGAGAAAACCCTCAAAACTCGAGATAAGTACAGAACTAAAACTACGCAGCCATTACAGAAATAGCATAAAAATACTGACAGAAAAACGTTGCTTTTCTTGTGGGGAGTGAGGTCATATTGCCAAAAGGTGCTCTGCTGCTAAAACCCCACATGCAAAAATGGTTTCTAATGAAGTATATCAAGCAACCTTTTGCTGATTCTTGCGGTGGGAAACCTGTCTTTTTTTGGTACCTCTATAGTGGAGCCACTGAAAACATGTGTTCTCAAGAGCAGAAATTTATAAATTTAGATTCAGTGAAATCACAAGTTGAGATAACCAATTCTGAAAAAAATTGAAGTTTCTGGCATGAGAGACATTGTTTTGAATCCTGTCAGAGAATGTGGGAAAGATGCTATTAATCTAGCAAATGTTCTGCATATCCCTAATCTTGATGGTAACCTTCTTTCAGTGGGAAGAATAAAAGAAATGGGAATGACTGTTTCCTTTGAGAGGGACAAAGCAATCATAAAAGATCCAAGACAAGATAAGGTCATTCTCACCTGCACATAGGCATGGAAGATTATACAAAATTGAAGAGAAGCAAACGCACAAAATATAACTTTCCAGACATGAGGAAACTATGCATCAAAGATTAGGACATTTCCACCATGATGCAGTTAAGAAACTTATGAAAAGGGATGATTCGAATACGACACGTGAAGAAATCCAAGAAACGGAGACTGTTTGTTCAATATGTGTTTTGGGGAAAATGGAGACGACTCCATTTTCCAAGGAAAAAGCCGAGCGTTCAACTAGATTACTTCAGTTGATACATACTGACGTAATTGGACCTATCACACCTACATCAAAAGGTGGATCAAAGTATGTCGTTACCTTTGTTGATGACTACTCAAGGTATTCTGTGGTTAAAACTATGAAATTTAAAGATCAAGTCCTTGAAAAATTCATGTAATATAAATCAAATGTTGAAAATTTCCATGGACTCAAAATCACTACTCTACCAAGCGACAATGGATATATCAACAATGAATTTGATTATTTTCTAACTAAAATTGGACTAACAAGACAACTCACAGTTCCCCAGACACCACAACTAAGTGGAGTTGCAGAAAAGTGAACCATAGTCTATTTGATATAACTAGATGTCTTCTCCTAGGTTCCAACATTCCACAAGAATTGTGGGCAGATGCTATTACTACTGCCTGTTATTTGCGCAACAAGTGTCCATCAAAAGCTACCGAAGGAAACATACCTGAAGAACTCTGAACCAAGAAGCCATTGCAAATTAGTCACCTGAGAATATTTGGCTGTCGAGCCTTTGCTCAAAGCTATAGAAAGGAAAGCTAGGGAAGTGTGCTCAAGAAAGGATATCCCGAAGGTGTGAAAGGATACAAACCATGAAATACAGGGGAAGATATGTTTTTAATGAGCAGAAATGTTAAATTTAATGAAACTGTTTTTCCATTGAGGAGGAGCCAGACAGCTACTCAAGCAAAGAAGGAAAATGAAGTGACTTAAATCATGAGTACAATTTTGACAATGAAGTAAATATTGTTTCATTAGAAGTACCCATCAGTTGCAGCACCACAGGAGTCGAAGATGTTGAAACCCCATTAATGACACAGCAGAAGAAATTGAAGACACAGAATCAGCATTTCTGAAAGATTCTGATAGTAGTAAGGAAGACCCTATTGGAATCAGGAAAAGCACTAGAGGAAGGAGACCTAAGACTTACTATGGGGATCCAGTGTTATATAAAGCTGTTTGTGAAGAACAACCTGCCATCAAAATCTATAAGAACCCAACAAGTGTAAAAGAAGCAATGAATTCACCAAATGCAGAGATGTGGAAAGAAGCCATGAATTAAGAATTGTTTAATTTGTACGAAAATTAGACATGGGAATTGGTTCCAAAGCCAGCTGGCATCAAACCCATAGGATGCACGTGTGTATTCAAAGAAAAACAAAATCCAGAAGGAGAAGTAATCAAATTTAAAGCTCGATTAGTAGCTAAAAGCTACTCACAAGTCCTTGGTAGAGATTTTTCAGAGACTTTCTTCCCTGTTCTAAAGATAAAATGTATAAGAATCCTTCTAGCCCTTGCTGTGGAGTTACAAATGGAAATTCATCAAATGGGCATCACTGCTGCCTATCTAGATGGCTTACTCAAGGAAGACATATATATGGCATAACCTGAAAAATCTCAACAGCAAGGTAAAGAGCATCTAGTGTGCCATTTAAAGAAAAGCTTGTATGGATTAAAGCAATCAGGAGGACAATGGAATGAATGCTTTGATACTTTCTTGAATAATTGTGGACTGTCACGCTCAAAATGTGATCCATGCATTTATTACCATCCAAACAAAGCATTATATCTTGGTATCTATGTAGATGACATGTTAATTGTTGGGACCCTAGAGGAAATAACCACATTTAAGCATAACGTTGTGCAAAGATTTAAAGCAAGAGACCTTGGTGAAGCAAATGAAATACTATCTATGAGGATCCAGAAGCATACTGATAGCACCTTAATATTAGATCAAACAACTTACATAGAAGAAGTTCTAGAAATGTTCAAATTAGAATCAGTCAGGAGAAGCATCAACACCCATGGATCCCACTGTAAAACACCAAAAGATAGATGATGAAGAGTGGAGATATATAAAAGCAGAAAGTGACCAGATTCCATACAGGCAAGCCATAGGTAGCTTATTATACCTTGCTTGCGGAACACGTCCTGATATTACATTTAGTGCAACCTATATGAGACAGTTTAATGAGAGGTCATCTGAATTTCACTGGAGAAGTGTTAAACATCTTTTCCGCTATCTTAAAGAGCCCAAGCATCTATCCTTTACATTCAGAAAGACAAAAAGAGCCCTTGAAACATTCTCTGATGCTGACTGTGGTACTGAAAAGGTCGACAGAAAGTCTTTCAGTGGATATGTTCTTATCTTAGGTGGTGCTGCAATATCTTGGTGCAGTAAGAAGTAGTCTACTGTTGCCCTATCGTCGGGTGAAGCCGAATATGTGGCTGTTGGCCTTGCTACAAAGGAAGTTTTGTGGATAAGTGGACTGTTGAAGGAACTGAGGATGTTGAAGTTTATCCCATCGCCCTCAGTTATAAAAGTAGAGAACCAAGTAGCTATGTCCATCGCACAAAACCAAACTACATCAGGACGCATCAGGACATCATGACATCAAGCATCACTTCATTCGTGACTATACTGAACAAGGTGTGATTAAATTGGAATATGTAAATTCTAAGGAAAACATAGCTGTCTTCTGACTAAAAACATTTCAAAGGCAGTGTTAACCAACTTGAGAAAATATTTAGGTTTTTCACAAATAGCCCTCCCATGTCTTATATAAAAAGTGCCTGTGTATGCTCATAACTCTTGTAAATTTTTTTACCAATTTTTTATTGTTCAGTTATGAAGAGTTACTGTAAGTACCGTTTTTTTAAATTCCTCATTTTTGAAGGTTGTATTTAATCAATTTAAGTGAAAGTTTTTTTAAGCATACTTTGGCAAGGAGGAGTGCTAGAAATAATCTTTATTTTATTTTTATGATGTTGTTATCTGCCAAAGCAATGCTATAAATATACACTCTATGTTCCTTAAAATTCATGTGTAGCTCTTTTTGTTTTTTGTTGAATGGCAACAGTTAGTTAGTCAAGAAAATAAACATGTAACGTACATTTGTGGTTTGCTTATTTTTTTCTACTATATTTCAAAATGTATCTGCCTTTTAAGTAATTTCTATGAGATAGCTGTCAGTGTGAAACAGAAGAATAACGTCTGTATCATAATTTATTTTTCATGTTGAGCAGTCATGATTTTTTTTTAAGACAAAGTTTTTCAGTTTAACGGTGGATTTGTTGTTGTTACTAATGCTCACTTGGCTGATCTATAGTCAACCCAAGCTCACGAAATACTTCGTGGCAAGGAGCGCGCGTTGGCAACAGCCTTGAGCATCTTACAGGTGACATTGAGATTTAGCTGAGTTCCACCCCCAATTTTAATGGAGACCATCCCGGAGGGGACTGGTCCTAGGTTCTCTCACTCTTCTCCCTTTCACCAAATCACACGAGAGGACTTTCGGCTCGCCACATATTTAGAATGCCTCCTTCCCGCACAGGTACTATATATTTATAAACATTCATGCCTTCTCCGGGATTCGAGCCCGGACCCTTCGGCACGGCAGTCAGCGACTCTAACCACTATATCGGTTGAGCTGCACAGTTGATCTAACAATATTTATGTACATAAAGAATTACATGCAATATGTGTATGTACTGTTGGAAGTAAAAATATCGCAAAATTATTATTACATTATCTGACATCGCTGCTGTTATCTCGTGCACTTCTAATTTATTTGTATTTTCACTAGGCAATTTCCTTCTGCGCTAATGGTATATGATGGTAATTTCCCTTTGCTTCTCTGGGACCAAATGCAGCTTTTACTTTTAGATAGAACATGGTTAATTCACTCATGAATAATCGCGAACGCACTGTGATAATTGTATTTGATGTTTGATATTTCACTTATATTTACCACCTGATGTTAATATTGTTATGATAAGATTACGTTACTGTTGTGATTGTCATGAGATTTACAGCAAAATGTAAAATTTATTGTTCATGGAACCTTTAAAGTACTATTTACACCAAAAATATATAAAGTTCAATATTTTCTGTTTCCTATCAAAAACATATTCCTATTTACATATTTTTTAATCGATAAATATATACAGTCATAAATTACGACACTTAATGGAAGAAAATATCGTAAGCTTGGCTATATTTTAGCGAAAGGTTTAAAGTTTCTGGACTTTATGTCATCATTAAAAGTCATGGAAGTTCTCGAGAGGAAATGTAGTCACTACGTATTTTTCAGGTAATAAAGGAAGGCATTGATTATCGATTGGAAGACAATATTTGGAGTTCGTTTCCATCGTAACCACAGAGAACTCTTCTGACATTCATTTCGTCGTCTTTTACTTTTCGCAGACGACATAAACTTGCATTTATAAAAATTAAGTCTCTAAAGAATTTTTTTTTCTTTTAAAGGTACTGAAAAGTCATTTGAAAGTCGTCTTTCATATTGGATCGGTGTTTCACTTAAGAAATAAACTGGTGAAAAGAACACCTAACTAAGATTAGTTGCCAATATCTAAATGTTGAATCAAGTTTCATATAATTGAAAAAAACCTGATATGATATATAATTAAAAATAACTGAATTGAAAAATATCTGATATAAGCACCATATGACTCCCTTGCGCGACCTAATAAATTATGCAAATTTTTCGTTGCATTTCATTTAAACATATTTCTTTGAATTTTGTTAGATATATATATCTCATTCAATTAATTCAGTTCTGACTTCGGCAAAGCAAAAATACACACACACACACACACACACAAAAAAAAAAAAAAAAAAAAACTTGTGAAATACAGAAAAAACACCAGATACAGTTAAAAACACCAACTACAGTTAAAGACAGCAAATACAGTTAAAAAGATTTAAACAAATTTGTTTATAATTAAAATGACAATTTCTACGCAGAAACAAGCAATTCGTCTAGCGCAGAGAAAAGCAGATTTCTCGGTTCACAGAACTGATAATTTACTTTTAGTCCCACTCGGCAAAAAAGACACTCGGCAAAAGTTGGTGCAGAAGCTGACTTAATTCACTGTTCTACTAAGAGTTTCAAATGTAAACATATGGCGGCTTCGTTAGGCTTACTTCCATTTAAATAGCATTTATATTGTAGATAATTCTACAACCACTGCATGCAGATTCATAAAAACCTTAACCAGAACATAACAACAACATAATTTAATCACTTTTAAGGCAAAAGAATGCGCAATTTACCAACATTTAAGAATAAAAAATTTGCGCTCACCGAAACGGGTAAAAGAGTTAGTATGTATATATATATATATAATATGTGTGTGTGTATGTGTTCGATGCTTCCGATTGCAACCAAAAGGGAGATGAACAACTACATTTCATAGCCATCCCATATACAAAATTTCAATGTTCTGAGTCTAATCGTTTTTGAGTTACGCGAGATACATGCATATGTCCGTAAGGACGTAGAAGACGTTACGGAAAAATCCCTTTAGAATCCATTTTTAAATCCACTTTACACTTTGCTTTGAATAAAAGAGCCCCTTATTTTGTCCATACGTACAAATGCAAAGCAAAAATATTGTTCAAATGGATTTGAAAGAGGTTAAAAATGGATATTTTCATTGAAATATGATACCCGAAATTTTTCGCGATTACAATATTTCCTTTACTTTGTACAAGGAAGTAACAAATCTGCTGTGATCACCACATGACATTCTCGTACTGTATATTAAATTATACGCATTTGTTCCTGCATTTCATTTAAACTTATTTCCTTTAATTTCATTAGAGATAAATTTTTCATTCAAATAGTTCCTTTCTCACTTCAAGACAAAAATAAATAAAAACTCAAAACATCTTCATTAAAAATTTTAAAATGCAGAAAAACATAAAACACCAAATACAGTTAAAACAGGTAAACAAATAATTTTTACAATTAAAATTAGAATTTCTACTGAAAAACAAGCAATTTGGCCAGCAGACCAAGAGGGCAAATCTTTCGGTAGACAAAACTGAATGTTTACTATTGGTCCCTCTCAGCAAAAAGACACTGAAGTTGGTACAGAAACTGATTTAATTCACTGTTCTACTAAGCGTTACAAATGTAATCAAATGATGGATTCGTTAGGTGTAGTAGCATTTAAAAACTTTTAAATTGTTGATAATTCTTCAAGTATTGCATGCCGATTAACTAAAGGCATAAAAACCTTAACAGGAATACAAGAACAACTCAATTAAATGACATTTAAAGCAAAAAAATGCACAATTTACCATCATATATGAAAACAAAACTGAGCTCATTTGAGCCTGGTGATACACTGGGTATATATGTGTATGCTTATACTTTCGGTGCGGCCGATTGCAACCATATAGGAAGGTGCACAACGTCAAGTTATAGCAGTACCGTATACAAAATTTCAACATTCTGTGTCTACTCATTTTTGATTTATACGAAATACATAAATATATATTGACGTCACAAGAAAAATCTCTTTTGAATCCATTTTAAATCCAATGTTCAATCCGTTTCGGAAAAAAACAGTCATTTATTCTGTCCGTACGTATAGATGTCATGCAAAAACATCGTTCAAATGGATTCGAGAACGATCGAAATGCGTATTATCGTTAAAATTTGATACCCGAAATTCTTCTTGATTACAACAATTTCTTTTATTCATAGATGGAAGTAAGAAGAACAAATGCTAGATATTGTAGGAATTTTTGTATTCTGTTAAATTTCAATTTATACTTTAAATTCTAAATTTAAAGCAAATAAGAACTTTTTCAAATTATGTGAGAGAAATAAAATTATTTAAATCTATAAAATGCATACTAATAAAACTAAATATTTAATGTTTATTAAAATTTAACATGTGATACATTGTATTTCTTTAAACATTAATACGTTTAAACGTATTTTTAAAATGATATAAATCTTTTCACTTTCAGTTATGCACTTATGTTATGCATTTTGATGTAAAATTTGAAAACTACATGGAGCATAAAATGTGATGTTACATTTGGGCAATTTGAATTATTGAAATTTGCTGACTTATTGAGCAAAGCTCTTATTGAGTTATTATACTATGCTGCAATACAAAAGATACCGTTAATCTAAAACTTCTTACTTTTCTACTTCATATAGTTCTACATTTATGTCTAAAGTATTTGAGAACATAAATATAAGTTCATTTTGATTTTAAAGAAAGAAATGCTCTCTGATTTTTTTACTATTTACATTAAGATTTCTGAGCCGTTTAGAGTGTCTAATGTCAGACATATGACTATATCCGTCAGCATAAAATTCCCTTCTTTTACCAAATTAGTACAAATCGCCCCAAAGGTATAACAAAT